TTTAGCTGTAATCGTGAAGATACACGAAGTCAGGTCTCTCTCAAGTCTACGAAAGAGTTTCAACTGTAGGCCTCTCTCAAGACTTAGTTTTGCTTAAGTCATAAGTTTTTATTAATACTAAATTAAGCTACGATCGTATGGTTCTCTTAAGTACAAGTTGAGCTTTAATGAAAAGCCTTTGGAAGGCCTCTCTCAAGTCTCAGTTGAGCTTAAGTCATAAAGTTTTATTAAGCCTAAATTGAGCTAAGATCATAAGGTTCTATTAAGAGTCCTCTAGGCCTCTCTGATGTCAGCTTGAATTCTAGGTCTCTCTCAAGAGTAAGAAAGAGCTTAATCTGTAGGCCTCTTTCCAGTCTTAGATGAGCTTAAGCCGTAAGTTTTTATTAGGACTAAATTAAGTTACGGTCATATGGTTCTATTAAGTCCAAGTTGAGCTTTAATGAAATCCTTTGGAAGGCCAAGTCTTAGTTGAGCTTAAGTCATAAGGCTTTATTAAGCCTAAATAGAGCAGCGATCATAGGGTTCTATTAAGAGGCCTATAGGCCTCTCTCAAGTCATTGTTAAGCTTGAATTCTAGGTCTCTCTCAAGTGTATGAAAGAGCTTAATCTGTAGGCCTCTCTTAGTTGAGCTTAAGCTTAAGCCGTAAGTTTTTATTAGGACTAAATAATGGTTCTGTTAAGCCCAAGTTGAGTTTAATGAAAAGCCTTTGGAAGGCCTCTCTCAAGTCTTAGTTGAGCTTAAGTCATAAGGTTTTATTAAGCCTAAATAGAGCCATGATCTATTAAGAGGCCTATAGGCCTCTCTCAAGTCATAGTTAAGCTTGAATTCTAGGTATCTCTCAAGTATAAGAAAGAGCTTCATCTCTAGGCCTCTCTTAGTCGAGCTTGAGCTTAAGCCGTAAGTTTTTATTAAGACTAAATTAAGTAACGATCGTATGGTTCTCAAGTCTTAGTTGAGCTTAAGTCATAAGGTTTTATTAAGCCTAAATTGAGCTACGATCATAGCGTTCTATTAAGAGCACATTAAGTTTTAACGAAAAGCCTTAGTAAGCTTGAATTGTGGGGTCATCTTAGGACTAAATAGTTCTTTATTTGTAGGTTTCTATTATGCTAACTCAAGCTTTAATTTGGTAAGCTTATAGTAAGCTTCAATTGTTGGATCATCTTAGGGCTAAATAGTCCTTCAATTGTAAGTTTCTATTAAACATAAGATAGGCTTTAAACTAAGTAGTGTCTCTAGCCTATGTTTTTCTTCAATAGAAAGCTTTTATTAAATCCAAATTAAGCTTCAATCATTTGACTATTTACTTTAAGCTAAGCTTAAATTTCAGTTAACTTTTAGGTATATATTAAGTAAAATAAAGCTTAAATGAATGAATTACCGTTTAAGCTAGACTTCAAACGGCTAAGTCACTCTTATATCTTAAATGAGCTTTTCTCGAGTTTACTTTAAACCTAAATTGAGCTTTACCTCTAAATCGATTTAAGTCTAGTATGTTTATGGCCCAAAAGCAAAGACCATTACGCACTATAGTCTAGATAAAACAGTAAACTTTAAGCCTTACATTTTATAAGCCCCCTAAATGTTTCAGAACCTCACCACTCCTTTCTTCTACTTACACAAATCTAACAACAGCAACTTATTAAAATGTTTCCTTATGCTTTATGTGGCAACAACTTTTAAACGCTTTTTTTCCACAACAATAAAATCTCACAAATCACAAACATCCAAAACGTAGCATAAAAATAAAAAACCACTTCATCTGCATCTTCTTAACGAAAAAAAAACATCCAACCAGAACAATTACAATTTAAGACCATTTCAAATGCCAACATGTACAATTCAATTTAAACATAAAAAGAATTGTTGCATGTGCCACTCATTCATATTAAATTCATACAAATAAAACTGTAATATACATACAAAAGCTCATTCATGCCACAAAACCATAAAACACACACACTCAAACACAGAATAGAAATAAAGAAGAGAATGTGATGTGCCTTAGAGAAGAAAAATATTTTGCATAGAAACTAGAGTTTATAGTTTTACCATGCAACAGTCGTAATGTGCAACATGAATGTATGATGACATTGACTAATCGGTGACCATAAACGTGCTTACGCATGCTGATTTGTAATGCTCTTGTTTCTTGCTACATTTGAGTTGCAGTAGAAAGAAAAAATTCAAATATTTATACGCCTCAATGCTGTGTCTGTCTTAAGCTACCAAAAATTTGTTTCTAGTTGCAACTGCTATAACATATCGATTGCAACATTTCAATGTAAACAGGCTGCTCGTAACCAAATTTGGACATAGCAACCTTAACAGGCAATCCCGTCCGTTTAGTTTTTTTTTTTCTGCTTTTTTTTCTCATTTAGAAATATTCATATTTAGAAGATTAAAAAGTTGCAAAAATTAAATAAAATTTTACTAACAAATTTTTCCCACACTTTCTTTTTTTCTCTCTCTCCTTTCAAGGCTCCTTTTATAAAGAAAATAATGTTTTTTATTACAAATAATGGTTGCAGCAACAAACAGCTAATGTTGCAGCTTCTAATCATTCCAGTCTTTAGCAAAGCAACAAAAAGAAAAAAAAAAACGAAATTTTTTTGTAAACGTTCGGTTTGCTTAAATAAATTATAACATTCCTCCTGATATTTGTAGTGACCATTTGTTGCATGTTGATAATTCTACGTAAATGTTGTTGTAAAAAGATGTTGCTGCCTCTATTACAATTTGCTGCTGCCTTTTACTGTTGCTGTTGATGATGATGGCAATGTTAGAGGCCTACTCTAGCTGGCCATGGTGGCGATGAAGATGATGATGCTGATGGTTTTTAGCAAAGTTGGCTATTTGGCTGGCAGTTAAAGGCAGTCGTTTAGACATGTAGCAGCAGCAACACCACTAATACAACAACATATACAGACAATATCACTATGCATGACGCTAATTCTTGTGGCCATATTTAAACTGACAGTTATTTAATTTTGACACGTTGTTGATTACTGTCACGTCAAATGTCACTTCGATTTAGTTTTAGTTTGGTGAAAAACTTAAACATTGAAAATTAAACAAAAAAAGATGCTGAGTAATAAAAAAATCAATTGAAGAAGAATACTATAAGAATCGGTAGATTAAGGCTTTGAGTTGCCTGCTAGGAATGATGGCACTCCATATTCTGTATACGATCATTGATCTAGTCTATAGTCTAGTCTATAGTCTAGTCTATAGTCTAGTCTATAGTCTAGTCTATAGTCTAGTCTATAGTGTAGTCTATAGTCTAGTCTATAGTCTAGTCTATAGTGTAGTCTATAGTCTAGTCTATAGTATAGTCTATAGTCTAGTCTATAGTCTAGTCTATAGTCTAGTCTATAGTCTAGTCTATAGTCTAGTCTATAGTCTAGTCTATAGTCTAGTCTATAGTCTAGTCTAGTCTATAGTCTAGTCTATAGTCTAGTCTATAGTCTAGTCTATAGTCTAGTCTATAGTCTAGTCTATAGTCTAGTCTAGTCTAGTCTATAGTCTAGTCTATAGTCTAGGTCTATAGTCTAGTCTATAGTCTAGTCTATAGTCTAGTCTATAAGTCTAGTCTATAGTCTAGTCTATAGTCTAGTCTATAGTCTAGTCTATAGTCTAGTCTATAGTCTAGTCTATAGTCTAGTGTCTATAGTCTAGTCTATAGTCTAGTCTATAGTCTAGTCCTATAGTCTAGTCTATAGTCTAGTCTATAGTCTAGTCTATAGTCTAGTCTATAGTCTAGTCTATAGTCTAGTCTATAGTCTAGTCTAGTCTAGTCTATAGTCTAGTCTATAGTCTAGTCTATAGTCTAGTCCTATAGTCTGTCTATAGTCTAGTCTATAGTTCTAGTCTATAGTCTAGTCTATAGTCTAGTCTATAGTCTAGTCTATAGTCTAGTCTATAGTCTAGTCTATAGTCTAGTCTATAGTCTGTCTATAGTCTAGTCTATAGTCTAGTCTATAGTCTAGTCTATAGTCTAGTCTATAGTCTAGTCTATAGTCTAGTCTATAGTCTAGTCTATAGTCTAGTCTATAGTCTAGTCTATAGTCTAGTCTATAGTCTAGTCTATAGTCTAGTCTATAGTCTAGTCTAGTCTATAGTCTAGTCTATAGTCTAGTCTATAGTCTAGTCTATAGTCTAGTCTATAGTCTAGTCTATAGTCTAGTCTATAGTCTAGTCTAGTCTATAGTCTAGTCTATAGTCTAGTCTAGTCTATAGTCTAGTCTATAGTCTAGTCTATAGTCTAGTCTATAGTCTAGTCTATAGTCTAGTCTATAGTCTAGTCTATAGTCTAGTCTATAGTCTAGTCTATAGTCTAGTCTAGTCTAGTCTATAGTCTATAGTTTAGTCTATAGTCTAGTCTATAGTCTAATCTATAGTCTAGTCTGTAGTCTAGTCTATAGTCTAGTCTATAGTCTAGTCTATAGTCTAGTCTATAGTCTAGTCATAGTCTAGTCTAGTCTATAGTATAGTCTATAGTCTAGTCTATATACTACTATATACTATACTATTATATGCAATATTTTAAAATATTACATACTCTTTAATCAACTTAATATACCAACTTTCTCTCTCCATCCAATAATGATGGGTGTACGATGAGTATGAAAAACTATCAGCGATTTGTGTATTTAGGTGTTTATTTGGAAGTCCGTCCTTCCAGACAGTTAGACAAATAAATGCAACAGTAAGACCAACAAACATATAATTGCTTTAAGTACTTAAAGACTATGTGAAATTTACTAACAAACAAGCTGGGTATGTTTTTACAAATCATTGACAAAAAACACAAAATTATCTCAACTTGTAGATTAATTTTTTCGTAGCTGCAAGTACGTGAATTTCTTTTGGTTTTGTATTTTTTTTTTCTTAGTTTATGCAACAAGTAATGCTTGCATTCAATTCGATCGATCGATATGTATCTGAAAAAAAAAACATTTAAAAACAATCTTGGCGTCACTAAATGTTTTTGTTGCAGTTGCTGCTACTGGTGATGACTATGCTGAGCTGCTGCTGATGTTGATGTTTAGATGACGATGGTGATCTAATGTTAAACAATGTTGCTGGCAATCTTTTCATATTGTTATATGATGATTTTGTTGTTATTATCGATGCTGCTGTTACTGTTTTGTTGTTGTTGCCGTTGTTATTGTTGTGTGGAGCGTGAAATTATGGTAAGTCACCTTAAATGTCGTTTACTGCTATTTGCGCGTAGCAACTATAAATTACACAATGATTTATTGTGTATTTATCAATGAAGGCATTTTCTTGCAATCGATCAATTTCTATTTGACAGCTTAACCCAACATATACGGTAGCAATAAGATTTCGTGCTCTATTATACTTAAAAAAAACCGTTGATTCTTTTTGTTTTGTTTTGGCTTTGTTTTTAGTTTTCCTTTAATTATATTAAATAAATATTTATTTAAAATTAATTTCTCTCATAAGAATAATTAAGAGTTATTAGAAAAATTATACAAAAGGAACATGAAAGGACTACAAATTAAAAGTCATGCTGCATTAGTTTCAGAGCCGCAATAATATTATTCAGTAGTCAGCATTCTAGGTCTATGGTCTAGTCTACGGTGTAGTCTATATTCTATAGTATAGTCTATAGTCTAGTCTATAGTCTAGTCTATAGTCTAGTCTATAGTCTAGTCTAAAGTCTAGACTATAGTCTAAAGTCTAGACTATAGTCTAGTCTATAGTCTAGTCCATAGTCTAGTCTATAGTCTAGTCTATAGTCTAGTCTATAGTCTAGTCTATAGTCTAGTCTATAGTCTAGTCTATAGTCTAGTCTATAGTCTAGTCTATAGTCTAGTCATGCTGCATTAGTTTCAGAGCCGCAATAATATTATTCAGTAGTCAACATTCTAGGTCTATGGTCTAGTCTATGGTGTAGTCTATATTCTATAGTATAGTCTATAGTCTAGTCTATAGTCTAGTCTATAGTCTAGTCTATAGTCTAGTCTAGTCTAGTCTATAGTCTAGTCTATAGTCTAGTCTATAGTCTAGTCTATAGTCTAGTCTATAGTCTAGTCTATAGTCTAGTCTATAGTCTAGTCTATAGTCTAGTCTATAGTCTAGTCTATAGTCTAGTCTATAGTCTAGTCTATAGTCTAGTCTATAGTCTAGTCTATAGTCTAGTCTATAGTCTAGTCTATAGTCTAGTCTATAGTCTAGTCTATAGTCTATAGTCTAGTCTATAGTCTAGTCTATAGTCTAGTCTATAGTCTAGTCTATAGTCTAGTCTATAGTCTAGTCTATAGTCTAGTCTATAGTCTAGTCTATAGTCTAGTCTATAGTCTATAGTCTAGTCTATAGTCTAGTCTATAGTCTAGTCTATAGTCTAGTCTATAGTCTAGTCTATAGTCTAGTCTATAGTCTAGTCTATAGTCTAGTCTATAGTCTAGTCTATAGTCTAGTCTATAGTCTAGTCTATAGTCTAGTCTATAGTCTAGTCTATAGTCTAGTCTATAGTCTAGTCTATAGTCTAGTCTATAGTCTAGTCTATAGTCTAGTCTATAGTCTAGTCTATAGTCTAGTCTATAGTCTAGTCTATAGTCTAGTCTATAGTCTAGTCTATAGTCTAGTCTATAGTCTAGTCTATAGTCTAGTCTATAGTCTAGTCTATAGTCTAGTCTATAGTCTAGTCTATAGTCTAGTCTATAGTCTAGTCTATAGTCTAGTCTATATTCTAGTCTATATTCTAGTCTATATTCTAGTCTATAGTCTAGTCTATAGTCTAGTCAATAGTTTAGTCTATAGTCTAGTCAATAGTCTAGTCAATAGTCTAGTCTATAGTCTAGTCTATAGTCTAGTTTATAGTCTAGTCTATAGTCTAGTCTATAGTCTAGTCTATAATCTAGTCTATAGTCTAGTCTATAATCTAGTCTATAGTCTAGTCTAAGTCTAGTCTAGTCTATAGTCTAGTCTATAGTCTAGTCTGTAGTCTAGTCTATAGTCTAGTCTATAGTCTAGTCTATAGTAGTCTAGTCTATAGTCTAGTCTATAGTCTAGTCTATAGTCTAGTCTATAGTCTAGTCTATAGTCTAGTCTATAGTCTAGTCTAGTCTATAGTCTAGTCTATAGTCTAGTCTATAGTCTAGTCTATAGTCTAGCCTATAGTATAGTCTATAGTCTTGTCTATGGTCTACTCTATAGTCTAGTCTATATTCTAGTCTATAGTCTAGTCTATAGTCTAGTCTATATTCTAGTCTTTAGTCTTGTCTATAGTCTAGTCTATATTCTAGTCTATAGTCTAGTCTATAGTCTAGTCTATGGTCTAGGCTATAGTCTAGTCTATAGTCTAGTCTATATTCTAGTCTATAGTCTAGTTTATAGTCTAGTCTGTAGTCTAGTCTATAGTCTAGTCTATAGTCTAGTCTATAGTCTAGTGTAGTCTATAGTCTAGTATTTAGTCTAGTTTATAGTCGAGTCTATAGTCTAGTCTTTAGCCTAGTCTATAGTCTTGTCTATAGTCTACTCTATAGTCTAGTTTATAGACTAGTCTATAGACTTGCCTATAGTCTAGTCCATAGCATAGTCTATAGTCTATTCTATAGTCTAGTCTGTGGCCTATTCTATTGTCTAGTCTATAGTTAAGTCTTAGTTTAGTCTAGCACAAAGTGTAATCCATAGTCTAGCCTATAATCTAGTGTATATTGTAGAATATTGTGTGGTGTATAGTGTATGTGCTCTTTAGTCCAGTCTATATCATAATCTATTTACTAATCTTTGGTCTAGTATTTGTCCATCCTAGAATTTAAAGGATTCCAAAGTCCTTGAACTTAAAAATGTTAATCATATTTATTTATTCTTTTTCGAATATGACACACATTCACTTCCGTTTGTCAAACTTTTACCCATCAGTGCAACATTTCATTACAATTTCCTTTATACTTCGTTACAATGATATGAAAACTTTTTCTTTCTTTAGTTTTTTTTTTCTTACAATTCCTTTTCATCTCTTTAAGTTTTTGTCTTTTTAAATAAAATGTCACATTTGAAAAGACATGATCATAAATAAGAAGATGACAAAAAAAGTAAAAGATTTGACGCTTTACAGCAATTTGATTGCAACATGTGCTGCATATTCAAAAAGTCAATTGACCAATATAAACTTCACATTTATAAAATAAAAAAAATATAGAAAAAAGTTCAATAAAACAAAACGATAACGCGGTACCAAATTCAACTAGATACAATAGAGGTATAGAGAACAGAAGCCGTTTGTTTGTCTAACTTTGTTTACGTACAATTGTGAGTATTGCGTTTTTTTGTCAATAAAGTTCATAAAAAAGCTTAAGACATAGAAGCCAAATACTAAAAGCAGCATCATCATCGATCATTTTCAGCAAAAATGGTTACAAACTGTGCGTGTGTAGCTTAAGTTTTGTAGCAACTCTTAAGCGCTTGTAAAGATACTTTAAGTTTGTGCTGTTGTTTGTTATTCTTATGGTTGCATGTATTTGATTACTTTGTAAAAATGTTTAAAAAACACCAGCGCATGACCATATTGATAATGATAAGTTGACATCTAATGTTTTGACAATATGGATGGCAAATGAAAAGAAAAAAAAGAAACAATATTAGAAAATAGGAGACATTTGTAAAAAAAGAACAGCTCTGTTAAACGTTTGCTCGACTTGTGATTGCCGTCCTTATATAAATATCTATTTATTTGGTTAGAAGACTCATGGTTTTTTTATGTCTTGTATTTTTCATTTTATTGATATTATGAGCTGTTGCTTTGTACTTAATCTTACCAAAAGTAGACCTTATGAAAATGTTTAAAAAGGCCGTTTATATTGAACGTATAAAAAACAACATTATAATAAAATATATGTTTATTTGTTTTTTATGTTGTTTTTTTTTTTTAATTTTAAATCTTTATTGGATGAAGGCAAAAGTGGCTGATTTAGTTTAGAGTCTATAGAATACACAGTTTAGTCCATAGTCCAGTCCATAGTCCAGTCTATAGTCTAGTCAATTGTCTAGTCTATAGTCTAGTCTATAGTCTAGTCTATAGTCTAGTCTATAGTCTGGTCTATAGTCCAGTCTATAGTCTAGTCTATAGTCCAGTATATAGTCTAGTCTATAGGTCTAGTCTATAGTCTAGTCTATTGTCTAGTCTATAGTCTAGTCTATAGTCTAGTCTATAGTCTAGTCTATAGTCTAGTCTATAGTCTAGTCCTAAGTCTAGCCTATAGTCTAGTCTATAGTCTAGTCTATAGTCTAGTCTATAGTCTAGTCTATAGTCTAGTCTATAGTCTAGTCTATAGTCTAGTCTATAGTCTAGTCTATAGTCTAGTCTATAGTCTAGTCTATAGTCTAGTCTATAGTCTAGTATAGTCTAGTCTATAGTCTAGTCTATAGTCTAGTCTATAGTCTAGTCTATAGTCTAGTCTATAGTCTAGTCTATAGTCTAGTCTATAGTCTAGTCTATAGTCTAGTCTATAGTCTAGTCTATAGTCTAGTCTATAGTCTAGTCTATAGTCTAGTCTATAGTCTAGTCTATAGTCTAGTCTATAGTCTAGTCTATAGTCTATATATATAGTCTATAGTCTAGTCTATAGTCTAGTCTATAGTCTAGTCTATAGTCTAGTCTATAGTCTAGTCTATAGTCTAGTCTATAGTCTAGTCTATAGTCTAGTCTATAGTCTAGTCTATAGTCTAGTCTATAGTCTAGTCTATAGTCTAGTCTATAGTCTAGTCTATAGTCTAGTCTATAGTCTAGTCTATAGTCTAGTCTATAGTCTAGTCTATAGTCTAGTCTATAGTCTAGTCTATAGTCTAGTCTATAGTCTAGTCTATAGTCTAGTCTATAGTCTAGTCTATAATCTAGTCTATAGTCTAGTCTATAGTCTAGTCTATAGTAGTCTAGTCTATAGTCTAGTCTATAGTCTAGTCTATAGTCTAGTCTATAGTCTAGTCTATAGTCTAGTCTATAGTCTAGTCTATAGTCTAGTCTATAGTCTAGTCTATAGTCTAGTCTATAGTCTAGTCTATAGTCTAGTCTATAGTCTAGTCTATAGTCTAGTCTATAGTCTAGTCTATAGTCTAGTCTATAGTCTAGTCTATAGTCTAGTCTATAGTCTAGTCTACTAGTCTAGTCTATAGTCTAGTCTATAGTCTAGTCTATAGTCTAGTCTATAGTCTAGTCTATAGTAGT